ATCTAGCACAGAGTCGATAAAAAGTTAACAAAAATGATAACGACTCGGCCGTGGTGTTTTTCCCCTTCTTTCGCTCTAATAAAAATTCTTGGTTTAAAGCTTTAGGATTTCAATAAATCTGCGATAAAGCCACAAAATTAAAATCTTAATTGTACCTATCGAAGTGTGTGCGTAATTGTTGAAGTAATGAAATAACCAGTGTGGTTTAAGTGATCGAACGCATATGATTAAGGTGATAAAGACTATAATTTGAATATTGCCCGGAAAAAAATGAAAATCTTAAATGTACGTCAAAGGAAGTAAAGTTTGATTCAGGTTGTTCTCTTATTCTTTTCACTCTCCAGTTTGACCTTTGAGATCGGTTAAACATCCCCACAAACACAAAATCGGTAGCGTAACATAAAGATAAAAATAATGATTCTGTAACAGTGTGTTGTTAATTTATATAAACTGAAAGTACACTATCTAAGCCTTTGAAATGGCCATTATCATTCTAGTTATGGTTAATGTTCTACGTGAAGCAAATAAAAATAATTAGAAAATTGCACTGAACAAAATGATGGTTTATCCACAAATGACAACTGATTTTTGATTTATGTTCCTAATCAGCTATTAATCCATCTTCTCTGAATGACAGAAGATGTACGGTTTAAAATAATAAATTAGGCAACCAAATCTCGGTGCCACATTCTAGCCACCAATTGTATGAGCAGAAAGTCCTTGATGCAAGCCTTCTGAGGGAGCACTCACCTTGTGCATATGGACTTTGTCATAAGCTAATTGAGTGTTGATCCATGTACTGTATAAACTATTGTTTTTCTTTATTATTTAGTAGGTTTATTCAAAATATGAAAAAATTGTGCTGAGTAAAGTCGTTTCCATTTCGAAGGCCATTAATCTGTCATGTTTTGATTAGTATGCGACTTTTCCGTGGTTCTCTTCATTCTGAACTCAACTTTTCATTCAGTCTCAAAGCAGAATCTTAAATTATGGCCGTGCAAAATAATAATAACAATAAAAATAAGTATAGTAAATATGAGGGTGTAAGTGTTAAATGTGTGACTTCACCTTAGTGGGAGACGGCATCACAGAGTAGTTTCTTCCATACGAGGTTAGTTTTAACCCGAAGGTTTTCCGGTGCCGTTGGTCAATCATGCTATAAATCTCAACGTTGAAAAACTGAACACACCGATATATTTTTACACATTGCAAATGTTAATTGGTATGTGAGAATTATGACTGCATAAAATTACCTTATATCAGGAAAAATTGAAAACTTTTTTCAGCAAAAAATGAATGTTTTAGGTAATCCATTAAAATTGTTAAATAGATACAGTACTGTGTAATATGTGTATATTTATAAAAAAAACATTTAAGTTGATTTTATTAACGTAATTCATTAGATTATAGTCTAAGTAAGATAAAAGGCTATGTTTAAGACAGTAGCCTCCCAGCCACGATTTCTCTCTCTCTGGTTACCAGTGATCTTTGTAGGCCTGTTATGACTTTAACTTGACAACATTGTTTTTTTTAATCAGTATTAGTCTTTCTTATTATGTAGAGTAAATTATTCGGAAGTATAAAAATACACCACAAAACACTTTTTTGAATATTGGGAACTGTAATTTGACATCAGAGGTTAATTGTGGCATTTTAATGTTTTTCGCCTAAAATGTTTTGTTGAGCAATGAGCAGAATCTGCATAATACTTGAAAGCAATTCTGAGGTCGAATCTTCCCTAATTTTTTGGAGGTCTAAATATTGGACTAAAATAAACACCAGACCCAACTCGACCCCAAGACCCAGAGAAAGGAAAGGAGGGAGAGAGAGAGAGAGCGGGAGAAAGGAACCTATGGTTTCAGCAGGGACTCATGCATCAAACTTCAATTTTCCGGACGATTGAATTAGTGATTTTTTTTTTCCTCTTGAACTAAAATACACTTAAGTCTTTGGGATTAATTACCACGTTCTGGTCCCTCAGATTGTAGTATTAGTTATCGTTGCCACGTTTGACATCATCTCTGACACCTCATAAAATAAGGAACTGAAATTCTGTGACTCAACCCACCTCAGCCTTTGCTGATAATAGCATTCAGTTTGTGTTCCGCATTTTGGCTTTTCATTCGCTACGGATACGTCATACCGTAAAGTGACTTGATTTGGTGTCCACACCACTTCAAAATCCAAAGATGATAAATAAATTCACTCGATTCGAATTATTAATCAATTCTGAATATAAATAGGCATTCTTTAGAATCATTTATAAACGCATAACGTGTTTTTGCAGGTGTATTTTTCCTTTTTGGTTCAATTTAATAAAAATATGAAGAGTATAGTTTTTTTTTTCAGTTGGTTATGTTGTTGTTACATAAGCTTCATTATATCCCTCTACATTTTGCCCTATATAACTTGATTGCAATTTTAAAAGAAAGTGTTTTAGTTTAATGTGCCCTGGCTAAACGCGTCTGCAAAATTAATGCCATTTACACCCATGCGAATTGTGGTCGTTTTAAGGTATGTAACAGTGATGTCTGTCTTAAACGGCTGTGTTTTGTGTTTTCTGTATCCCGGGATAAGCGCGATTATGTCAAGGACATGTAGCTTTTATTTTATATTTTTGTATCTACGTTGCGTCTACATGTTAGTTCAGTCATAAACTAAATCATTTAGGCCTTCTTTTTAAACTGCATGGCGGTTTAGTAGCAACAAACCTTCAAACGGTCCCTAGCATCTCATAAAGCAAATGTATAATTGACGCAAAAGTAATAGTTTACGTCTACAGCGACGTTGTTGTTTACTTCATATTGTTTACTTGACCAAGCCTTTAGCGTATTTATTTAAACGTCATTATAAACACGACGTGCAAGTACATCTGCCTCTCCCTCCCCCCAGTCCGCGCAGTAAGTGCGAAGCTCAACGGGCCTGCGTGATGCCGAATAAGTGTGATATGTTCTTCTTCTACCTCTTGCCCACAGTTCTGTTTTTCCCGTACATCAGTACCTGGACGAGTACTGGAAAAATCATCTCTCTGAAGTCTCTCCGCAACATTGTACATGTAATTTAGGAGATTTGTTTTTCTAAACCAGCAAGTACTCCGAATTTAATAAATCCGTGCGCACACATTTAGACCCTAGAATAAACAGTCCTTAAGACATTCGTTATATAATAGATCATACTGTATTTAACAAGCAGGTATTTTGTTGTGTGGCATTTTTAGAAAAGAATTGCCTAAATTATTCTTTGCGTCCAGTAGTCGTCTTGACTATTTTGAAGGGTGGATGGTTGGCCTATTAGAAAGGACGACGACGACGATGATGATGATAATGATCAACTTATCGTGTTTTTAATAAGCTACAGAAAGATATAGGTTGAGGACATTTTCATTTCATTTTTTTTTACAGTAAATGGCATACCGTAGAGCAGAACGAAACGGCTCTAACAGATAGTACAGCATAAAAACAATATGCTGAAGTAGATGCCCATGTGTGTGAACATTGCGACGAGTGCAATGCATCGGATTTTAGAATAATAATTTTTAAAAACTACGCATTTTTTAGTTTGAAAAATTAAAAGAAACGCAGAAGGAATAAACAGGGTAAGTCACCAAAAAATTTAGTAACTCCCACGTGTGAGAGAACCCGTCCGTGTGGCTTCAATTTCCTTTCAAACAAAAACACTGGAGGTAAAATTAACTCCGACTCTTTCTGTTCAGCACAGAAGCCTTTTCTTTCTTTCACGTTTTCTTTCTTGAATCATCATGTTTTCAGCCTCATTAAACCTCCGAAAGACAAAGAAAATAAAAAGAGAAAAGCTAAAAAGAAAACAAACAAAAGAAAAGAATCCTTTACCAGACTCTCGCATAAATGTCACCATTTCAACATTTTACGACTCCCCTACTTAGCATGAAAAACACTTTCGCCACAAGATGTAGCGCTTTTTAAAAATTCTCTGGACAAAAGTCAAACATATTATTTCCAGCCCAAAAAGGGAGAAAGACAAGTGCTTTACAAAAAAGAGAGTGGGTTTCATTGTAATTCATAGACTTGTTCAAAATGCCAAGTTAAAAAAAGGCAAAGAAAAGAGTCGACATTAATGGGCACAGATGCCCTCGTGAAGAGGAGGGCTATGTATGCATTATTGCTTTTGTAAAATGGAGTTAAACAGTTTAAAAGGAGGGTTAACCCAATCCATCAAATTGTCTGGAAATTGTGAAGAAAATTCAAAAACCATATGGCCTCCAAACGTTTGTGTCCTTTCTGTGCAGTGGGACACACTTGTCTCAGTATTGAGAACTGCGGGAGACTGTGCATGCCCCATTGTCACTTGTCACATCAGGGAAGGCTGCTCATTTGTCCCCCGTTTTCATGCTTTACGCTAAAAATTATAGCCTCATCCTTTATCAAAGAAGGATTATATAGCCCCGGAGAAACTGGCCCAAAAGTCCCTGTTTTTTTTCTGGCATCTTCCCTTTTTTATATTCTCCGAACCAGATTTGTGTTTCTCACATAAATTTTGTGCAGAATAGGAAAACACACGTTGCCGGGTCAGGAAGGCAGGTTACGCTTTAAGAGCTTGAAAAGGGAAATGACGCTGGGATAAAACACTGGTTTGTATATTTTTACTGAAAACAATAGAAGAATAATGCCAAAAAAAGATTTTTTGTTACATATACTTACACTGACAGTTTTGGGTTAAAATAGACCACCCTCCGTTGCCTTTTAGTGCGTGCTTAAAAATGATTTCATATAGCCTATAATAAGCTAAACGTTCTTATTAGACAATTGTAGAGCATTTTTTTTGTTCTGATTTAAAAACTAAAAATGTAGGATATTGTTCAAAAGACCATTTTACATTAATCCTAAGGCAATGTTAAACCCCCTGTTTTGTCAGGAACAAATGGCTCTTTCAGTTTTAAAGACACGAACTGGTCTGTAATAATCATAACAACCTTCCTTTTAAGTTTAATAGTAATATCCGAAATGTAAAAAATACTGGAAAAATTGGTTTGCGATTTTTTATTTCCATTTTTATGTACACATTCCAAGACAAAAAATAAAAATGGTTTTACGTAGTGTCCTGATTTAAAAGGCACTTATAGGCATCATACAAAACCTAGGAAGTCTATTAAAATGTTAATGACTTTATTGTATTGAAACAGAGGAGTCTATACATACCTAAGTGGAAGTAAATCAACACCGTTTATGATTTATGTAATTTAAATATCAGTACTTTCTTAATTTATAATTGAGATGTCTTTTTCCGGGAATAAGTTACTATACATCTTTTTATGAAATCCAGATCTTTGATTAGACCGATTTAAATTATTTTATTGATCATGCAAGAGTCTATAAAGTAAAAACATTTTTTCTTGCACCACCTTCATAAAAAAATACGAAAGGTAGGTCGTATTTTTCGTAATAAAAGAATTATATAGCAGTAAATTAGAACAGAAAATAATATGTTTGATATAAGAATGAAGGAGAATTAAATAAGGGGGAGATCTGGTGTAATCCCTAGGAAACGTAAATACATTTATATTTTCTTGCAAATATGAAGGTAATAATTTAAAAAAGAACAGAAATTAAAATGTTAAAAAGAAACGTGCATACCTGTAACATGCAAAACGCTAAATTTAATTCAGCCTAAATTAAAGCTCGACGATTTTTTTCCCCAATCAAAATAACGCACAATCTATGACTTTTCTAACCAAGGTTATGTTAAGCAAACAAGCTTTAAAAAAATAAAATCTTTTCCCCCCAAAATGTAGTTCATTGTGTATTGTTTGTTAGTAATTTTATATCGATTGATAGAAGCCATACAACTGCACCATTCCCTACAAATCAACGCTACCTGATCTGTCAGTAGTCGGACCCTTGTCGTTGTCCTTTATGCATGTGTGCTGCTTATTGCTTTAATTGAAAACAACTGCCTTGGTTAAATATGAATAAAGTTACTATAACTATATACTTTATAACGGGCGCAGCATATAATGTGTAGTTCATGCTTGCTTTGAATATCTTTTTCATATAAAAGTCACTTTAAATTCTAGATGACGGTGGCTAAAAACTCAACAACAATCGGGAAAAAAAATCAGTCATCGACATCAATTTCCACGTCTTCATCTTCCGAACACTCTTGACTGGTAGCGTGGTCTGTAAACGGGGATGAGGGGGACATTTGGAGTTTGTTAGGGGTCTCGTGTCCGTGACTGGATAGCGTTGGGGATTCGGATCTTGAATTGCCCAGTGTCCCAGCGGCGCTTTTCTCTAGATCTGCCAGTTTGGCAATTTTCTCCAGTGGTACTGAACCAAGCGCTTTGGCTGATTCTACGTCTGCTTTCATCTCTTCCAAATCCCTCTTGAGTTTGGCTCTGCGGTTTTGAAACCAGGTGATAACTTGGGCATTTGTTAGCCCCAGTTGCTGGGCGATTTGATCTCTGTCAGCAGGAGACAAATATTTCTGATACAAAAACCTTTTCTCCAGTTCATAGATCTGATGGTTGGTGAATGCTGTTCTGGACTTTCTTCGCTTTTTGGGAGTGTTCCTCTGGCCAAAAATCGTCATTCCGTCCCTCCCTGCGAACACGCATATTAAATAAATATTAGATGCCTTTTTGTTTCCTGACATTAAGTATGCAGCGAGATATAAATGTAAACGTAAAATATAATCTGAAATCAGTATTTGTGTTACTATAAAATCAAATCTACCTTCTAAAAACCATATAAACCATTTAATTAAACTTAAAAATAAAATCCGTTAAAGATGTTTACATTTCTCTTGCACTTTTTTTTACTATATTTAATTGTAATGTAATGCGTTGCTATATACATTCAAATACAATTTTTCAAAAGCGATTCGCGTTTAAACCAGTCGATTTTATTATAAAAAATAAAGGATCACACAACATATATTTCACAGTTACGGCTACAAATCCTAAAATAAATAGCCTACATATAAACTACTGTAAGTGGTCCAGACTGTAATACGGTATTGTGAGTAATATTCGCTATATTGTACTTTTTAAGAATAATGAAACCAGCATACCTTCGGCCGCCTGAAGGACACTCACTTCCAGTCCTTTAAATGTTTTGCTGGCCAGCTCTTCGAGGGCACAGAGAGGAGAGGTCTGGGTGAGGAGTGCCCGACTGGACAAGGGGAGACCCGGAGGAGGGTGTTTTTCAGCGGCCGATATCAGGTGCGCTGTTCCGCAAATTGTATAACTTCGTCTGACTGAAGGTTTGTTGAGAATGTCTTCAATACTGAAAGGAGTGAGAGGCTTGTTAGAATTTGCTGGCGGTGGGAGATGGTCCAGTGGGCTTCGCCTTCTCTCTTCTACCGAAGAACCTTTTGCATCTTCCTTCGAAGTCATTATTTAACCTTGCTGCTTTCGAAAATAACTTCTATTAATTTTATTTTTTCACTCCAAAATAATCAACTGCTCACAGGAAAAGTTGTGAAAACCGAAATGGCAGAGTGCTCGTCTAAAAAAACGCTCGAAATTGCAAACAACCAAATCGTCCTTTTTACGCTTCCGAGGTAAGAGATGGATTTTTAAAAAGTCCTGTAGTCCCCACTTTTTCACGTTTCCGTGGAAAAGAATGTGCTCTCCACAAGGTTTAGCAATCCGAGGGACAATGGTGTTTCTCTGAGCCCGGTGAAGCCAAAATAGTGGGGCAATTGACTATTGCTAACAAGTTATTGTTGATTGGGAGGTAATCAATTATCTCCAGTGGCACTTTCACCCTCTCTCTTTCACTCTTTGACTCTGTTGCTGTCCAATGCAGGCTTTTGCAAGTCGGGAGCTCCATTAATTAGAAGGCATGGCTAGTAGGAGGAGCCCGGCTGAATTATAATGCTTTATGCTCTTGTCATTTTTGTGCACAATATTTCTTTGGCCATATATATAAATATATATTTTAAATTGCATTACATCTAATCTTCATCGCATTTTGGTTATTTATTTCAACATTTTAACAAAATTGACCTTCTTAAATGTCACATTTTTACGCTTTCACCCATTTTATCGGTTTGAAGAAGCGAGTCGAAATTTGAGGTGAGTAAAATTGATGTGTATTTATTTTTCCTTCATTGTAGTTTAATACATTTTAAGTGATTGTCGAAGATATAAATTAGTAGTCTGTCGAAAAATTTAAAACTGAAATTCCTGCACTTTATAACCTACTATCCGAATCTGCTTCATGCATTAAACAGATTTGATATGTAATCTCGCGTTTGTAATGTTAGCGCATTCACGCTCTGTGTAACTGAATAAAAACATAAACCTCGGTATTACAGTTCTCCCTATTGTAAATGCGGAGCAGCTTCTATTTTTAAAAAAATCTACTCTGTTTGAGATGAACTTGAAAAAATACATCAAAATGTGCTTATCTGCGAATTTCTTTTAGCGTTATTTAACCATTATTTAGTGCCCCTTTTCTCCTATAAAAATCCTGTGCGAGTGGTTTGTATGATATGCTCCCATGTTTTATAAAGGCACTGTAGAGCCAGGCAATATATATCACTGCTCCTAATACTTCTGGACAGGGAGAAGAAAGAGAAGGCACAGTCCCCTTCAGCTCAGCTAAATCCTCTGTGCCATAATTCAAGTGCAAAGGGCCACCTAACAGCATCAAGGAGATATTTCATCTCCCTTAAAAACTCCAGATGCTCATGTCCTTGCTGTTTCTGTTATTTGCTTGTGTTTGCATGTGAATCTGTACATGTGTGCACTAAACTGTGGTTAGGTTTTGTTCTTTTTTCTTCTGCATTAATTTATGGAGCTGCATTTTAAATATAATCGGAGGTTTATAATTCCAGCAGGTTACTATGCCACCAATCTGAAAACATGGTTCCTCACGTTTGTGTGTTGTGATGCGAGATACTGGCGATTGGGCACTGGGTCGTTAATACAGACCTCTTAATTTTAGATGGGAACACCACATATTTTCATACCTTTTGCGTGGTTAAATATGGGCTTTAAATATAGGCCTGCTATATATGTATTCTGTATATTGCAAAACATTAGAAAGCTCATTCTGTACCTTACTTGACACATTGCAATAAGTACTTGTTAGAATGTGCAGTCTACGTTTTGAGATATTAACCGGTTATATCAAACGATTTAATGTCGTAGTTTTATTTGTTTTAAATTCGATTTATTGTTTTTTGTCTTTTTGGTTGCTGGACGGAAAGTATTTGTCGCAGTATTTAGATCATGACATTTTCAGGGTGAAAACCATATAAATAATGTAATATTAAATAAACATCATTTTAAATCTTAAAATCTTAAAAACGTTTTATATTTATATAAAATAGTTGTACTGCGCTTTTCGGGATACTAGTTAATATTAATAATAAATGCAAAACATCCTTAACACCATTAAATATTCAGCAAATTATAATGATTGACATTGAAAACACATATATTGTCACATTCTTGACAATATTTTAATTGAAATATTATCGTAGTATTTGCTTATCCCAACTAATGAATTTAAGACTATTCGTTTATTTTTCTATGTTAAAGATAAATATATCTTGCGTTCTAACGTCGTATGATTTATGAGATAGTCTTTAGAGCCCAATGATGTCTCTCTCCTTCCTCATTCTGAAAGGGCGGGTGTAAATTAAGAAGGCGTATTCTGTGGTTTAGGTAAGGATTTGGAATGTGTCGTGCTCAACGCTATTTTTCTTTCAGAGTAATTTTTAAATTACGGTTACCCGGAATGCGCCACAAAAGAACAATTTCTTATAACGTAATTTTAAATAGGGCTATAGGAAAAACACTTGGTTTAATTACAATAAATAAGAGAATGTATATTATATATGATAAGAATCAGGACTGAGTGGTTTTGCAAGGTCTTTCCTCGCACTAGAGGCGCTATTTAACTAAACACAATGACTGCGGTTTGATGGTATACTAGGTGGTGCGGCGGCAATGCAAGTCCTCTCAAGTGTTTCTGAGTCTGAATGTCGGCTCTGATTGCAGACTGTGTTCTGACATTGTGGGGGAGTGTCCTTCATAATCACATTTAACAGCCTGTAATTAAACGCAACAGATAAGCAAAATAACACGAAGACAGGACGTCCTGAAAATAAATCTTCCCCAAGATTTTAAAGCACCGAGCCCTTGTAAGAAAACTCGCGCAGCATGTGCGATGTTTGTGCTACAGCAACGTAAAACTTATTTTAGCGTTTAATTCTACTATCGGTTCTCGACTACATGGAAACGCATTCTCTTTGCTGGGTTGGTTTAACTTTTCACAGGCTACCTGTTGAACTAATGGGAAACTCCCAGAAGGTCGAAATGTTCGGATAGTATTTGATATTTCTCTCTTAGGTGCCTGTAAGTATATTTCAGTTACAATTCTGAAAACAATTATTTTTACGAACGTACTACGTAAATAATCTTATGATTTCAACGCGTTTTTGTTAGTTGCAAAGTTGAAGTCATATACAAGTTATATTCTTGTATTAATAATAATAATAATAATAATTGCTCACACTTATATAGCGCTTTTCTGGACACTCCACTCAAAGCGCTTTACAGGTAATGGGAACTCCCCTCCACCACCACCAATGTGCAGCATAATTAACCCAGGAAACACATCAAACAAATAGAACAATAAAACAGATGTTTCAATCTTGTGTACATAGTGTGCTTTTGTATCCTATGGAAACGATTGTTTTATATTATACTAGAAAATATCTCACTGGACCCCGTTATCTTGGTGGAACATTATAATTATAAATATAAGGTAAAAAATGTTACTTCATACATTTAAAGATAAAATAATTTCCTCGGAGTAGTTGATAGGGTTGGGTAAGACATGAATCAAACAAGTGGGTTTAAGTGAAAGACAGCTATCTTACTGCAGGCTATAAAAACTAGGATCTGATTAATGCGGTATAAGGATGTGCCAGTGAAGGTATCTTTGATCATTGGTGCAATACAGATGGTCGGCTTTGCAGTTCTTGCTAATTGCAAGGTTATAAAATAACGCATCTGTGCTTTAATGAAGTTATCACGAGTACTGAATGTTTAGGGTTCTGTTTGTTTCACTTAGATCCTTCTAGACATACTTTATATGGACTGATACAAATTACATTTTATGAGCCTCAGCTGCCCCGATCGTGCCGCCATCAGTCGACTGTTAAACTAGTTTTCCAGTGCTTGATAATATTATGATGGATCCAGCGGTTTTCGAAATTACCAGGCAAGACAGGCCACACTGATCTTTACATGTATTGCTTTCACCATCAAACAGCAACGTTAGCATATCTGATTTGTTTACCAATGCTGTTTTGATATATTTAATTGCTGCCTTGTGGTTGGTTGCGAAGACTTCTTTGTGATATTAACGCCCCCGGCGGTACGCTTGGGAACTTCATGCATTCTGTTAGAAGTAGGCTACTAGGATCAAATTATGAAGGTACAGTAGTAATTTATACTTAACAGGACATAAACTAAACACTTCATTTACTTTAAATATCTAGGAATTAAGGAGTCATGCTTGGGGGGCATGTGGAGTACTAACATATATTATATTAATATAAGCCTATCATACTGTTTCTTGTTACTTTGACGTTGAAGTTACAGAAATTAGCTTGCTTACTCAAAAAATTAAATGAGGTGTCCTTAATATTTTAATCGGAAACGAAACGGACGTTTTCAAAAATGGATGGTGTGGGATACACATTCCCACATCCTATACACTGGTTTTCATACACAACGTAGCGGTCACATGTACGTTTCTTAAAAACAATTTACAGACTTGTTACAAAATATTTATTTTTAATGCGTTTCAACAGGTAATATTAAACCCCCTGAGCTCTTTACACATTTATTTTGTATATATAAGATGTAGAATTATCCTACACCGCGAGAGCTCGAGCACAATCTAGCTCAATTTGTGATATGTAGGGTATTAACAATGATCAATACAGGTTCAAAATAAAAAAAAGGGTTTGGGCGTTTGTTGTGACCATTAATTTTTACTCCTTAGATGTAAATTGCAGACTACGTCTTTATGGTTTACAAGTAACTTCATCTTAGGTGTTTAAACTGACTTTCAAGATGCACAGCCTAAAACCGAAAATGTCCGGGTTACTATTTGAAAGCCATTTCTTGTTTAAAGTAGCCTTGTTTCAACTGTGCATATTCCTGTAGCCCAAAATTATTTCTAATTTTGGGCTACAGGAATATGCACAGTTGAAACAAGGCTACTTTAAACAAGAAATTAAGAAACTAGACAGTTTTATTTCAGAACTTATGATCGGTTTACAGGGATTTGTAACAACTAATTTCATGTCCGCTGTCAGTTTATAACGTTTATGTGTACAATCCAAATCGCCGTCTTTTGATTACTAAGTCAGTTCTTAAGTTTTAGGAATTTTAGAGTTTGACCTCTTTACATTTAGAAAGAACTACGTCTTTCTTTGCAATATAAGGCGTATTTCATATTTATTGTATATTCTTTCACTGAATCACAACCATCTGTATTTTTTCATTGGTTTATATCGTCATTAACCTTAGTTTTCACTAGCGGTCTTCATGATGCGTACTGTACACAACAATAGAGCTTCTCTTTCTATCATTTGAAGGTGCCTACGATTTTTAGACAGTTTTCGAAAACTTCGGGAAGAACCACCAGTGTTTTAAAAAGATCTAAACTGAAAGAGCCAAAGTTACAAACTAAGTTATTTATTCTGTTGTAAGTAATACGATTGTTG